TGCTCATTTTCGTCATTGCCTCTCGTTCCTCCTTGCGTCCTGTACCCTCTCTTTCAGTGTAGTCCTTTCTTCTTGTTTCTGTCGCGGTCAGGTATAAATCTCTGGTACCCCTCTTTGTCCCTCAGTCTTGCTTTTCTCTTGCAGAATCCTGGTTCAAACGATTCTTTTCCCTTTAAAGTTACTCTGACAGGCCGTATCCTTCCACTCGCAAACCACCCAAATTTTCTGAAAATTTGTCACCTGGGTCATATCGCCCTCACCTATTGTTTTCATGATGCCTTCAATCATTTTTTTCTCCTCCTGTTTATTTCTTCAAAGTTGTCCCCCTTGGCTTCTTGGAGCCCGTACAAAAAAACTGACCTCGCCCTTTCCTTCTCCCCCTGAGTCTCCATCTGCTTCCTCTGAGGCATTTATTTCCTTCCATTGACATGTTTTTTGCCTTCAGTCCCTGTCATATCTGAAACTTCTATTCTCATGAACTGTCTTTCATGAGCAGCTGTCCCTTGCTACTGCAGTTGGCTGTTAGAATCTCTGCATATAGCATACCTCATTGTCTTCAGACCCCTTCATTTGATCTTAGTGTGCTCCTCGTCTCTTTCCCCGGCCCCACGTGGGTCTGATAGGCCTTCGTGTACGTCATGTCCCCCTTTGTTGCTTACCCGTCCCTTGTCTGTGCCTGACATTTGAATTTCCTGATGTCACATCTGAATTGTCATTTGTCTTTCAATCTGTTTCAGGCTTTGCAGTTTCTCTTCTAAGCACTGTAAACCTAGCTTCTGCTGCTAAGACCCCGTACTTCCCACATTCCTGCACTCTTCAGCTATCCGCTCCTCCATTTTCTTACCAAGCTCTACACCTTCCTTCCCCACTCTTCCCCCCTTTTTTTGGAGCTCTAACTCCCAGTCTTTCCTCCTGGTTTAAACTACCAGATCACTGGTTTTTTCCCTCCTCTAGAGCCACCCATTTTGTGTGTGTGTGTGTGTGTGTTGGGGTGTGTGTGTTTTGTGTGTGTGTGTGTGGGGTGTATGTGGTGTGTGTGTGTATGTGTGTGTGTGTTGTGTATGTGTATGTGTGTGGTATGTGTGTGTGTGTGTGTGGGGGTGTATTTTGGTATTGTGTGTGTATATGTGTGTGTATATTGTGTGTGTATATGTGTGGGGTAATGTGTGTGTATTGTGTGTGTATGTTGTGTGTATATGTTGTGTATATGTGTGGGATATGAGTGTGTGTGTGTGTGTGTATGTGTGTGTGTGTGTGTGTGGGGTGTGTGTACTACCTATTTGCTCACCTATTTGTGGGTTTCAGGGTCGAGTCACAGCTCCCGGCCCCGCCTCTTCACTGATTGCTACTAGGTCCTCCTCTCTCCCTGCCCCCCTGAGCTCTATCATACCTCGCCTTAAAACATGTATGGTTCCTGCCTCTACCACATCACCTTCTAGGCTATTCCATGGCCTGACTACTCTATGACTGAAGAAATACTTCCTAACATCCCTTTAAATCATCTGAGTCTTCAACTTCCAATTGTGACCTCTGTGTCTGTGTCCCATCTCTGGAACATCCCCTCTTTTGTCCACCTCGTCTATTCCGCGCAGTATTTTATATGTCGTTATCATGTCTCCCCCCGACCCTCCTGGCCTCCAGTGTCATCAGGCCGATTTCCCTCAACCTTTCTTCATAGGACAATCCCGTAGCTCTGGGACTAGTCTTGTTGCAAACCTTTGCACTTTCTCTAATTTCTTGACGTGCTTGACTAGGTGTGGATTCCAAACTGGTGCTGCATACTCAGTATGGGCCTGACGTAGATGGTATAACAGAGTCTTAAACGAATCCTTACTGAGGTATTGGAACGCTATCCGTAGGTTTCCCAGGCGCCCGTATGCTGCAGCAGTTATCTGATTGATGTGCGCCTCAGGAGATATGTTCGGTGTTATACTCACCCCAGATCTTTTTCCTTGAGTGAGGTTTGCAGTCTTTGGCCATCTAAACTATATTGTGTGTGCGGTCTTCTTTGCCCTTCCCCAATCTTCATGACTTTGCATTTGGCAGGGTTAAATTCAAGGAGCCAGTTGCTGGACCAGGCTTGTAGCCTGTCCAGGTCTCTTTGTAGTCCTGCCTGATCCTCGTCCGATTTGATTCTTCTCATTAACTTCACATCATCTGCAAACAAGGACACTTCTGAGCCCTATCCCTTCCGTTATGTCGTTCACGTATACCAAGACACCCACAGGTCCTAGGACTGACCCCTGTGGAACCCCGCTTGTCACAGGCGCCCACTCTGACACCTCGTCGCGTACCATGACTCGTTGTTTCCTCCCTGTCAGGTATTCTCTGATCCATTGCAGTGCCTTTCCTGTTATGTGTGCCTGGTCCTCTAGCTTTTGCAGTAACCTCTTGTGAGGAACTGTGTCGAAGGCCTTCTTGCAGTCCAAAAATACGCAGTCGATCACCCCTCTCTCTCTTGTCTTACTTCTGTCACCTTGTCATAAAACTCTAGTAGGTTTGTGACACAGGATTTTCCTTCCCTGAAACCGTGCTGGTTGTCAATTATACACTTGTTTCTTTCCAGGTGCCCCACCACTCTCCTCATGATGATCTTCTCCATGACCTTGCATACTATACACGTTAGTGATACAGGTCTGTAGTTTAGTGCCTCATGTCTGTCTCCCTTTTTAAAAATTGGGACTACATTTGCCATTTTCCATACCTCAGGGGGTTGCCCAGTTTCAAATGATGTGTTGAAGATCTTTGTTAATGGCTCACACAATATCTCTGCTCCCTCTTTAAGGACCCATGGAGAGATGTTGTCTGGTCCCACCGCCTTTGAGGTGTCAAGTTCGCATAGCAGCTTCTTCACCTCCTCCTTGGTTATATGTACCTCATCTAGCACTTGCTGGTGTGCCCCCCTGTTCTGATTTCTTGGAGTCCTAGTGGTTTCCACTGTAAATACCTCTTAAATCTTGTGTTGAGCTCCTGACATACCTCTCGGTCGTTTTTTTGTGAATTCCCCATCACCCTTCCTCAGTCTGATTACCTGGTCCTTGACTGTTGTTTTCCTCCTGATGTGGCTGTACAACAGCTTCGGGTCAGTCTTTACTTTTGATGCTATGTCATTTTCATATTGTCTCTGAGCCTCCCTTCTTATCTGTGCATATTCGTTTCTGGCTCTTCGGCTGATTTCTTTATTTTCCTGAGTTCTCTGTCTTCTGTACCTTTTCCATTCTCTAGTACACCTAGTTTTTGCCTCCCTACACCTTTGGCTGAACCAAGGACTCGTTCTGTTCTTCCCATTATTTCTGTTTCCCTTGGGAACAAACCTCTCCTCTGCCTCCTTGCATTTTGTTGCTACATAGTCCATCATTTCTTGTACTGGTTTTCCTTTCAGTTCCCTCTCCCACTGAATGTCTTGAAGGAAGTTCCTCATGCCTGAGTAGTTCCCCCTTTTGTAGTTTGGTTTTTCCCAGCCTATTCCTGCTACTCTCTCCACTTGGAGCTCAACTATGTAGTCGAAGCACAGAACCACATGATCACTAGCTCCCAGGGGCCTTTCATGCATGATACCCTCGATGTCCGAACTACTCATGGTGAATACAAGGTCCAACCTTGCTGGTTCATCCTGTCCTCTCTCTCTGGTAGTGTCTCTAACATGTTGATGCATGAGGTTCTCCAGTACCACTTCCATCATCTTGGCTCTCCATGTTTCGAGACCCCCATGGGTGTGTGTGTGTGTGTGTGTGTGTGTGTGTGTGTGTGTGTGTGTGTGTGTTATGTGTGTATGTGTGTATGTGGTGTGGTGTGTGTGGTTGTGTGTGTATGTGTGTGTGTGTGTATTTGTGGGATATGTGTGTGTATATGTGTGTGTATATGTGTGTGTATATGTGGTGTGTGTATATGTGTGTGTGTGTATATGTGTGTGTGCGTATATGTGTGTGTGTGTATATGTGTGTGTGTGTGTGTGTATATGTGTGTGTGTGTGTGTGTATATATGTGTGTGTGTGTATATGTGTGTGTGTGTGTGTGTATATGTGTGTGTGTGTATGTGTGTGTGTGTGTATATGTGTGTGTGTGTGTGTATGTGGGGTGTGTGTGTGTATATGTGTGTGTGTGTGTATATGTGTGTGTGTGTGTATATGTGTGTGTGTGTGTGTGTGTGTGTGTGTGTGTGTGTGTGTGTGTGTGTGTGTGTGTGTGTGTGTATATGTGTGTGTGTGTGTGTGTGTATATATGTGTGTGTGTGTGTGTGTGTATATATGTGTGTGTGTGTTGTGTATATGTGTGTGTGTATATGTTTTGTGTGTGTGTGTATATGTGTGTGTGTTTGTTATATGTGTGTGTGTGTGTATATGTTGTGTGTGTATATGTGTGTGTGTATGTATATGTGTGTGTTGTGTGTGTGTATATGTGTGTGTGTTTTTATGTGTGTGTGTGTGTGTGTATGTAAGTGTGTGTGTGTGTATATGTGTGTGTGTTGTTGTATATGTGTGTGTGTATGTATATATGTGTGGGGTGTGTGTATGTATATATGTGTGTGTGTGTGTGTATGTACATGTGTGTGTGTGTGTGTGTGTGTGTGTATGTATATATGTGTGTGTGTGTGTGTATGTATATATGTGTGTATGTATATATGTGTGTATGTATATATATGTGTGTGTATGTATATATGTGTGTGTGTGTATGTATGTATGTATATATGTGTGTACTCGCCTACTTGTGGTTGCAGGGGTTGAGACATAGCTCCTGGCCCCCTCTGTGTGTGAGAGAGAGAGAGAGACACACACACAGAGAGAGTGTGTGTGTGTGAGAGAGTATGTTCATACATGTATTAATGTAAGATATTTAAAATAAAATGTATGATATTTGAAAGTTTTTTCTTTCATTTTGGTTCACCCTGCCTCGGTGGGAAACGGTTGACATGTTAAAAAAAAAATTGTGGTTATCTAGTAAAAGTACAGCACACATGATATTTGTCTAGTTACATAATAGTGAAAATATATAAAATTTACCTGCATTTCCATGGCAACCTTGAGAAAGTGCTTGTGGACATGAGACATTAAGTCATTATAGAGTGCTTCAGAGTGCTGTTGACACACACACTTGTATGCTGCCGAATACATGGGCTCAAATTCAATAACACGTCCTGTGTGGTAGGGAGGCTGAGGTCCCTGTAATAATCGGTCAACTGCCACTTGCAACTGTGGCCAGTATGTGTTTCTGTAGTCTTCAATTGTCATGCCGGTCATTGCTAAGAGAATGGAAAACACGCATAAGTGTTCTTGCACATGGCACTGCATCAATGTAAAATTATTGAAGTAACAGCATATACAATGTACCATAGTACAGTGGTCCCTTAATTAATGGCCTACACAAGGATGGGAAGAAAGGTTTGTCGAGGGAAAAATACGTTAAGCAATTGCATTTTCCCAAAGAAGCCCATGTTATAATTTCAGACGAGAACCAGGACAGTAATGTTCAGTATTGAGTCCTTCTACAGTATTTTTTCATTCTAAACCCCTAAACAGTCCAAACGTACATATATGTTCTCTCACCCAGCTCCCGGAATATTTTGAAAAAAAAAAAAAAAAAAAAAATTAAAAATGTGCTCTCTTTACTGTGTGTTTTAGAATAAAAAAAATTTTAGGGACAGTACTTACCGAGATATGAGGCCGCGAAGTTGGCACTTGGCGATCACCTGACGACAACATGGAGCGCTGCCCCTTGCAGAAATTCTACATATTTACCGTTTTCTTCAATGTCTACAAGGTGAAAAAACAGTTTTATATACTACTTGTGACTCCTACGTACACAGTCAACGAACCCTATCATCATGTCACACTTGTCAACTGGTTGCATATTGTACGTATAGTTCACGATAGCAACTGGCTTTAGAAAGTGTTCATTGGTCTCCCTGTTCACTCTGTCTGTTTGTACCATTCATTTCTGTGGATGGTTAACAGCAATGTCACATTCTGTTTGTCATGCCACGTCAGTGCCATGATGTCATTAGTATGAAACACTTGTACTGCACCTTCAACACTGCCTCCACTGAACCTTGGCATATGTTTTCTATTCCTTCTCACTGTTTCACATATATGCGTATTGTTCACACATAGGAAATCAGTGAGCATAGGGCTTGTATACCAGTTGTCTGTGTACAATGTATGACCCTTGCCAAGGTACGGTTCCATCATCCTACGAACGACATCACCGGAAATGCCCAACATCCGTCTGTCATCATCGAGTGTGCTTCTCCCGGTGTATACAATAACATCCAATACAAGACCACTCTCACAGTCACACAAAACAAAAAGTTTTATACCAAAGCGATTACGTTTGCTCGGTATGTATTGCTTGAATGACAAGCGTCCCTTGAACAGAATCAAGGACTCATCAACAACAATGTTCTTGAAGGGATAAAAGTATTCACCGAATTTCTGCTTCAAATACATAAACATTTCCCGGATTTTGTATAGAAGGTCATATCTGTTTGGCGTATTTCTGTCTGAGAAGTGCAACATTCGTAGCAACAGAGTGAATCTGTTGCAGGGAAGGTGGTCACGGAAGATTGGAGTACTGATGAAGTGGTCTGTGGACCAGTAATTACTTATATTGTTCTTATAGGTATGTGGCATAAGCATGACAGTGGCAAGGAATAAATACATTTCAGCCACTGTTGTGTCTCCACCTGTGCAGCCATGACGATTCTCCAACCTCTGCTGTGTTGTCCAAGACATCAGTAATATGTAATTGTTTGTCTGGGTCACTATAAAGTTCATTATAGGCTCGTCAAAGTACAATTGGAAATAGTCAAACTCTGTAGACTCATTCGTTAGGGGACATTCTGGCTGGATGCCATTTCCACTTGCATCAAAATCACAAGGCTGTGGCACGAATATACTTTGTATCCAGTTCCACTCATGATCACATGGTGCAGGGTGGACCGGTGGCATGGGGCGAGGGGGAGCAGGAGGAAGGACAGGAGTGAAGGCAGCACATGGTTGAGGGGATGCCGGGCGGTCCTTTGTCTGTCCACCCACTGCGCCATGTGGTCCAGGCTCCATGCCACCCACCACTACTTCCTCCATCCCTGCATACTCACCAAGAGAGCATGTAGGGCAGAATGAATTACAGCAGTTGGATATGCTGAATGTTGAAGACAGAGTAAAACAACTGAAGCTAAATTATGTTTATAAAATTGCTCACAGTGTCCAAAATATTTTGCTGTCAATTTTGTCAAGGTTGGGAACCAAAGCAATCATAGCACTAGGGGGAGAGAGCACAACTTTGTAGTACCCACAGTCATTGGCCAGGCTTCAAACACCTTTTATTGTACAGCAATAAAGGAATGGAACAGACTGCCCGCACATGTCAAAGCCAGTCATAGCATGAACCAGTTCAAGAAGAGTGCCAAAAGGTGTCTGATGAATGTAGCTACAGAAAGGGAGGGGAATGATTTTCTATTTTTTTTAGCTAACATACATATAAATTTTACCTTATTCTTAGTAATGACCCTCGTATTGTAGATAGTCTTAATGACCCTCGTGTAGTAGATAGTCTTTTTAGTATGATAATAGGATGTTATCTTCATTATAGAATAATAAGAAAATATTATAACCTTTATATTATAATAAGGTAAAAGGACCCCAATGGAAACAAGTCACTCTGTCTGACTTTTTTGGGTTATCCTAGGTTCTCTACACATATGCTGCTATGTATGATAACTCTATGTAACTGTATTTGTGTATACCTGAATAAACTTACTTACTTACATATTCATGATCACTTTCGCTATCAGTGGCTGGGGTTTTGGATCGTGACCTGCCACGATCCTTGGGGATTGCATATGGCACACTGCCTGAACGTAGACAACGACGCCTAAAAATATGCTTCACTGGTGAATAATGAACTTCACTATCACTAGACAAATCCTCAAATGGCATAAAATCAATCTCATCGTCACTTACATCACTTTCACTATCACTAAAACACCGGGAAAATGATAGTTTCCTCTTGTGAAGTTGCCTATGGGTAACACTCGCCACTCCAGAGGTGCTTTGCCCAGGGTCTTGTGTGGCCACACTGGCCACCCCAGAAGTGCTTGGCCTAGGGTCTGCTGTGGCCACACTGGCTACCCCAGAGGTGCTTGGCCCAGGGTCAGGTGTGGCTACCCCAGAGGTGATGGGCTGAGGATGATCTGGGTTATCGTCGACATTTTCATTAATTCCTTGAATATTACTGGCCCCATTGGTGTCAAATCCACTAAACTCACAATCTATATCACTTGCCTCGAATAGTAGTGTGTTAATACGACGAGGCGTGAGTGAATCATGAGAATGTGCCATGTTGGCCCAAGATGGAGCTGAATGTGACTGGACCTACCATGTGGTACCCAGGCGTCCCCAATTTTTTTCATACGGCACACACTGAGTGCGCACACCCATTCTCTCACGTCTAGGCGACTCAGGCCTATCGCGCCAATTTTGAATGAATGAAAAATGAAACGTATATATACGTTTGGGGCGCTAGTGGTAAGAACGTATATGTACATTTGGACCGTTTAGGAGTTAACGAATGTCTGCCTGCAAAATCAGCTTACTGCACACACATACCATGTGATCACATACAAAATAAGAAATGAATTCAATCTAAAAAACAAAAAAAAAAAAATGCAGTCATACTTCCTCTGGCTTGGTTTCCCTGTTGTTTTGTCTTAGCACAACACACACATTGACAATATACCATCACAGGATTTAGTGAAAATACAATTTCCCATGAAAAAACCTCTCCTTTTGGGTTAGGTTTTTAATGAAATGTCAAAACAAAGCATTTCAGAGGAATACCTAGAGAAATAATGTTAAAAACTAATCCGAGAGTCCATTTTATGTTCATTCATCATATGACAACATGAAAACAAATCATTAGAATTCTGTCAAAATAAAAGGCTCATTCAATTTCCCATACTAAATCTATTTTCTTCAGGTAAAGTTTTTCTTACAGTAAAAAAACAACCAGATTAGGATAAAATTTGAAGAGGTATTGTTAATAAATCTAACGAGCCTATGATAATATCCCCCAGTCAATGCTTCAATCAATCAAGTTTATTCTCTATAAGGATTACAACGCGGGGTTTACAGATTTTGGTTATTGTGTGGTTTACATGTAATAAAATACTAATTACAGAGGGGAGCCACTAGGACACCTAGCATAGCTAGGCATTTCGGGCAAACTTAGATTAATTCTTAACCCTAAATTATTACAAATTATGGAATAAGTTGACTAAATATTAAGTGACTAAATACTAGTTTGCGAGTTAAGCAATGTGAATGCTTTTGTTTTGGCACAATACATGAAACATATAAGTGAACAGTATTTAGATAAGGCTAAAGAGGTCTTTGTGGCATTTATGGATTTGGAAAAGGCGTATGACAGGGTGGATAGGGGGGCAATGTGGCAGATGTTGCAAGTGTATGGTGTAGGAGGTAGGTTACTGAAAGCAGTGAAGAGTTTTTACGAGGATAGTGAGGCTCAAGTTAGAGTATGTAGGAAAGAGGGAAATTATTTCCCAGTAAAAGTAGGCCTTAGACAAGGATGTGTGATGTCACCATGGTTGTTTAATATATTTATAGATGGGGTTGTAAGAGAAGTAAATGCGAGGGTCTTGACAAGAGGCGTGGAGTTAAAAGATAAAGAATCACACACAAAGTGGGAGTTGTCACAGCTGCTCTTTGCTGATGACACTGTGCTCTTGGGAGATTCTGAAGAGAAGTTGCAGAGATTGGTGGATGAATTTGGTAGGGTGTGCAAAAGAAGAAAATTAAAGGTGAATACAGGAAAGAGTAAGGTTATGAGGATAACAAAAAGATTAGGTGATGAAAGATTGAATATCAGATTGGAGGTAGAGAGTATGGAGGAGGTGAATGTATTCAGATATTTGGGAGTGGACGTGTCAGCGGATGGGTCTATGAAAGATGAGGTGAATCATAGAATTGATGAGGGAAAAAGAGTGAGTGGTGCACTTAGGAGTCTGTGGAGACAAAGAACTTTGTCCTTGGAGGCAAAGAGGGGAATGTATGAGAGTATAGTTTTACCAACGCTCTTATATGGGTGTGAAGCATGGGTGATGAATGTTGCAGCGAGGAGAAGGCTGGAGGCAGTGGAGATGTCATGTCTGAGGGCAATGTGTGGTGTGAATATAATGCAGAGAATTCGTAGTTTGGAAGTTAGGAGGAGGTGCGGGATTACCAAAACTGTTGTCCAGAGGGCTGAGGAAGGGTTGTTGAGGTGGTTCGGACATGTAGAGAGAATGGAGCAAAACAGAATGACTTCAAGAGTGTATCAGTCTGTAGTGGAAGGAAGGCGGGGTAGGGGTCGGCCTAGGAAAGGTTGGAGAGAGGGGGTAAAGGAGGTTTTGTGTGCGAGGGGCTTGGACTTCCAGCAGGTATGCATGAGCGTGTTTGATAGGAGTGAATGGAGACAAATGGTTTTTAATACTTGACGTGCTGTTGGAGTGTGAGCAAAGTAACATTTATGAAGGGGTTCAGGGAAACCGGCAGGCCGGACTTGAGTCCTGGAGATGGGAAGTACAGTGCCTGCACTCTGAAGGAGGGGTGTTAATGTTGCAGTTTAAAAACTGTAGTGTAAAGCACCCTTCTGGCAAGACAGTGATGGAGTGAATGATGGTGAAAGTTTTTCTTTTTCGGGCCACCCTGCCTTGGTGGGAATCGGCCAGTGTGATAATAATAAAATAATAATAACA